CACAAGGCGATTTTCTTTGAAGTACTTTTGCAGGTAGTCCTATTGACAAAAAATGGTAACTGTATAAGATCAGTATTGAAGGGGAAGAGATGTTTGAGCAAGCAAGGTTAAGGCTAGTTCAACTAGATGGTGATGCTTTCTTTCAACTACATTTTAAGAAGAGGTATGGGGTCACATGAGTAGATGCTTAAATCCAACTTTAAGGACATATGTCAAAATTCGAAAATCACCCCTAGATGGTGATGCACTCGTCTTCTTTCCTTCTCCTTTTTCTAGAATACTGATATTGTAGTATTCAACATGGTATCATTTTCCAAACGATCTTGAAGTTCCTGTCTGTTCTCCTGATTTGTTATGTATCTGGTGCGGTGGGCATGACTCATGACGATTCCTCCTTTGGTGGTGGTGACAGTTCTTATTCTGTTTCTCTTAGACTTCTTCTGAATAATGGCAAGGCATCCACGAACAAGAAGGTGAGTGTTGTTCTTAATGATATCAATTTCCTACTATAGAAACAACAGATCTTGTTGCCTCTTTGTAATCACAGCCTTCAAAAGTTTCTTGAAGGCAATGTGTCTGTTCCTTCTTCAACAATTGATTATGATTATGGTGTCGAGATTGAAATGAAGAGAGTGAACTTTTATTGCCCAGGATAGTGCCATAGCCTCCTAACTTCTATCTATGATCAGCCCGCATTTGCTTCATCAATTCGTTGGTGCTGTAACATCTTCTAAGATCTAGAAAGTTGTAAAAGTTTCCCCCCCAATAGGTCCCCAACTACATTAATGAATCTGCACTATAACTTTGTTCTATTCATAAGGTGAGATGATAATGCAAGCGTACATCTCTTCAATCAAAGAGGTTTGCGATACTTTGGTTATATGTGGTAATCATGTTTCTGATTATGAGCATGCCTCAACCATTTCATCAATGAGTTTCCTATAAGCCTTTCAAAGGAGTTATTACTGCTAGCCGTGAACCATTCACTGTTGATGGTGGTGTCAATCTTAATTGACGTTGAGGCACAACAAATATTTTATGGTGCTTTGAACAATTTGCCAATTCTTTCTAATCTAACATGTTCCCATGATGAAAAATGGTGGTCAATATAAGACCAATACTTTATGGGAAAAGGGGACATCTACTTGACAAATGTAATCATCGTTTTGACCGGAACCGCGAGTTTATGTTAATAATACTGGTGCAAGGTCTAAGAATGAATCTGTTTCACTTGCTATGTGCGACTACTCAACTAATAGTACTAGTCATAATCATTGTTGTGCAACATCCCATTCGACAACTCGTACAGAGAGTTCTAGTTGATTTGATTGCATGCTCAGAGGATACACCATGTTTGGATACATTGTCGGTGACTCGAGTGTAACACATCATGTTATTGGGGATGCAAACGACACTCGAGACATCTTCATCCTCTATTTTTCACTGCTAGGACTCATACTGGAGGATAATTTGAAGTTAATAGGAAGAGTGATAGAAATTGGCTTACAATCTTGCACGTTGAATAGTGGCAAGATCTTCTTCAAGTAATTCTTTTGTGAAAACCAAATCTTTCTATTACTTCTATCTCGGTGAATTTGCATCCCTAGAATCTTTTTTGTTGATCCAAAGTCCTTCATTTCAAATTCCCTAGTCAGTTGTGCCTTCAATTCTTCAATATGATTTTTGTTGGGTCCTGCAACCAAAATGCCATCCACATACAACAACAATATAACAAAATTGTTATAACCAAAACTCTTGAAATAAGCACAAGGGTATGCGTTAAGTATGTTGTATCTAAGGCACATAATGAAGGAATCAAATATCTTATACCAACACCTCGGCGCCTGCTTTAGACCGTACAGAGATTTGTTCAACCTGCAAACCAAGTTCTTCTTTTCTACTTCTTTAAAACTTTTAGGCTAGAGCATGTAAATCTCTTCTTCAAGATTTCCAAGAAGAAAAGCTATTTTAACATCTAGCTGCTCTAGATGTAAGTTCAATGTAGCACATATTGCCAAGACTACTCGAACTGTTGTTAGTCGAACCATAGGAGAAAAGATTTTATTGAAATCAATACCTTTTTTTTGAGCATGTCCTTTGACCACCAGTCTTGCACGATATCTCTCCACTTGATCGTTACCATTTCGCTTGATTTTGAAGACCCATTTTTATAAATTGGCTTCTTTCCTTATGGTAGTGGCACAAGGTCCCATGTATTATTTTTATGAAGGGCTTCAATTTCTTCTTGCATCGCCATCATCCACAGTGAATCATCTTAGCTGTTTATTGCCTCATGGTATGTTGATGGCTCACCGTCTTTTGTTAAAATGCAATATGCAATATTTCCTTCTATAACATAATCTAAGTGTCAATCGGGATGTCTTCTCACACGATCTAATTGACGAGTTGTTGGAGCTTCAGAACTCTCTGGTTCTTGTTCATCATGTGTTAGTTCTGCTTCAGAAGAATCTCCTTGTTCAAACTCATTTTCTACATGTATCTGTGTAGTCTCTGACTTTTCAGCGCTATCATCATCTTCTTTCTTTGTAGCTTATCTTTTATAAAGATAACATCCCTGCTGATGATCACTTTGCGGGCAGTGGGATCCCACAAGCGATACCCCTTTACTCCATCAGCATACCCCAAGAATTTGTATTTCTTGGATTTTCGATCCAACTTTGAAATTTCTTGGGAGTTGTACATCACGTACACAATACCTCCAAATACATAGAGGTTTGAATAATCAGCTGGTTTACCAGTCCACATCTCCATTGGTGTCTTCCGCTCTATTTCAGTTGAAGGAGCTCGATTCACCAAATAATAGGCGGTATTGACTGCTTCTGCCCAAAATGATTTTTCTAGGTTTGCACCCCTTAACTTTCTCTTGTTCTTTCTAACAAGGTTCTGTTCATCCGCTCTGCCACTCCATTTTGTTGAGGAGTGTTCGCCACTATGAACTGTCTTTTGATGTTTTTTTTCCTGCAAAAGTCATCAAATTCTTCACTTGTGTATTCTCCTCTATTATCTGTTCTGAAACACTTGATCTTATTTCCAAAATCAAGTTCCACCCGCGTTTTGAAGTTTTTGAAAGTTGAAAACACGTCTGACTTCTTCTTAATAGGGTACACCCAATATCTCCTAGAGTAGTCATCAATAAATGAGACAAAGTATTTTGCTCCGCCTAGGGATGTAACTGGTGCTTGTCATACGTCAGAATGAACCAACTCTAGAACACTTTTTCCTCTAGAATTTGACGTGTTAAATTTCAACCGGTGCTGCTTACTTGTTATGCAATGCTCACACAAAGTAAGTGATACATTTGTTAAGCCTGGAAGTAGCTTATGCTCCACAAGAACTTTCATTCCTTGTTCTGACATGTTTCCAAGTTTCTGATGCCATAACATTGCAGAATTTGAACTACATGAGGTAATAGAGGCTTTTGCTTCTAGCAAAGTCTCTCCCTTCTGCATTTACAAGTTTGATGCTATCTTTTAGCCTTTCATTACTACAAGCGCTCCATGGAACACCTTCATGATTCCTTTCCGTGTTTCAATCTTGCTTGCATTATTATCCAACAATCCGTAGGATAATAAAATTTTCTTCAAGCCTTTCATGTGCCGCACATCTAGAACAACTTTAATTGTTCCATCATACATCTTCAATTTGATTGTTCCCACGTCAACGATCTCTAAGGCATGATCATTGTAACTATACACAGATCCTCCTGAGACATGTTCATAATGATGAAACCATTCTCTTCTTGAGGTAATGTGATATGTTGCTCCTGAATCAATGAGCCATATATCTGTAAATCTTTTTCTGTCTTCCATGGTGGTTGATGCTTCACAACATAGAGCATCTCTATCATCTGAAGTGTTTGCGATATTGCCTTGTGGATTAGAATTTTTACCTAGACTCTAACAATTATTCTCAAGTGACCATTCTTTCCACAGTTGTAGCACTTTAAATTCTTTTTGCTTCTCAACTTTGATCTACCATGTTTGTCACTACTGATTTGGCCACGTTTTATTGATCTTCTTCTCATCGTTGTCAACGCTTCTGCTTGTTGCAAATTTACTTGTTTGTCTTCCTTGTTCTTGCGCCGATTTTCTTCTTGTAGAACAGCAGCTGCAATGTCATCGAAGACTAGACTGGTGACATTATTGTTTGTCAAGTTAATGATGAGTTGATCATACTAATCAGGTAGACTTTGAAGTAGAAGTTCATCACGTTCTTGTTCTCCTATTGTACAACTTAAGGATGTAAACTAATAAAATAAAGTGTTCAATGTGTTTAAGTGCTCCACTGCAGTTGATTCTGGCATCCGTAGAGTGTACAATTTTCTCTTAAGGAAAATTTTATTGTGCAACAATGTGGCATCGTACAATTTGGTGAGATGATATCATATCTCCTTAGTTGTCTTCTTCTCCTCGATGATTGACAATACTTCATATGCTAATGCTAGATGAAAATTTTCTATAGCATTCTAGTACATTTTGATCCATTTGTTGTCATATGTGAAATCTACCGGCTTTTCACTGATAGCTGCTAGACAACCGTCTTTCCTCAGGATGACCTTCATCTTCAATTTCCACAATGAGAAATTTCTCCCATTGAAATATCAAATTTTGTTGCCATAGCTTCTATTATTAATAGCTTCCACTATTTTACTATCATGAATAGTTCTTTGGAACCTTCAAAGAATGAATAATAACTTATTACTTTCTTATGTTGGAGGATCCACCTTTTGGTGGCAACCACAAAGACAATAAATAGATATTACACACTCTAATATGGCTCTAATACCAATTGTCGCGGAATACGACTATCGGATCACTACAAGAAAATATACCTTTAATTACACACGAACGATGACACACGCTAATTTATGATTTGCAAAAACTGTGTGTCATAAAAAATGTCATGTTTCTTAAAATATGAACGATTTATGACTTACAATAATGTGTCATATTTAATAGTCATAATCCAAAAAATTTGAAAAAACACGGAGTACACTTTTTAATTGTGTGTCATCTCTAAAAGTCGTATTTGAATTTCCCCTCCATTATTTTCATTATGTCCCGCTTATTTTTTCCCTTTACTTGGAAGCACCTTTTTCCCCTTATTTTTTACGTTTCATTTCTATTTGAAATTGTTTCAGGTTCTAAAAAATGACTCAAGATATGGAGATGAAAGAACAAACAACTCCTTCCAATTTCGTTATTTCCTCTTCTCCATCCACTTTGCATTGTAAGCTCACTCCATCTATGCATCTATAACACCCATTCCCCCTCTCGCACGCATATTTTTTACGCCTGGTGGTAGAATTTGATTTGCTATTTTCTAATGTTTCTGAACTGGGGACTTGTGGGATTTCTCAGATTTGAATAAATTCTTATGGGTTTATGTTAGATTTGAAGGAAATTGCATCTCTGATAGAGCCGGTGCATATGACCATGAAGCTCGCCATATTTTGCGGGCTATAAGACTTACTATGGCTTTAAGAAGGAAGTTGAAGCCGTCTGTGCTGTCCTCATTCCTCACTTTCACCCTTAGCCCTGGATCTGAGGCCCTTACTCGGCTTAAACTCTGGCTTCCACCTTATAGTTCTGTTTCACACTCTCGTGCATTTGTTTTATCTTTCTTACCTACATGTGGCTTTTTTCTCTCTATGATCATGCATTATCATTTTATACTTGCATCTATTTTGAAACTCATAGTTATGTTGTTTCTGTAGTAACATTTAGTCGGTTAGAGCCTGGAGGGAAGTTGATCATGTGTTTCAGAAAGGCTTCAACTGCTTCAGCATCTGATCAGGTTTTGCATCTATTTTGATTGTGCATCTATATGCTCGACGGCTACGATAAAATGCAATACAACTGGTTCATATGAGTGCTTTTGTTCTTCTTGCTTTTAGTTCATTCTCAGGATACAATTACACTTCAGTTATGGTAAAACTTATTGTTGGTCTTTTTAAAATCTATATTCTATGTATTTTTATTTCAGGTGATCAATGAAAACAAAACTAGCAATGAAATTTCTATGCATGGAGAAGTCAGTGCCTCAAAATATAAAATTGCTGATATACTTTACAATTATTTGAAAATAGCTCAGGTTCACGTAACTTTTTATCCATGAACCATGCTGAAATGGCAGATCCTAGCTTATGGTCAAAAATTGATAAGTCAGGACACATAGCAAAAGAATCATTAGGAGCCAAAGTAGAAGTTTCCAGAAAGAGAAAGAATATCATGCTAGGTTCAAAGAGTAAGCGTCTAAGAATTCATAATGAAGACTTTATAGAGCTGAAATTAACGTGGGAAGAAGCTCAAGGGCTGCTTCATCCCCCTCCTAATCATGTAACAAGTGTTGTCATTGAAAGTTTTGAGTTTGAAGAATACGAGGTATGTTATATCTTTATTGATCCGTTATTTTTTCTGTCCACATTTAATATTTGTTGTGATTGAAATCACTTTTGGTTGTAACTGGCAGTAATAGAAACCACTTTTATTTTGTCTTTCTAGTGTTTGTTACTCAACTTTGGCAAATTTAACTCTGATATGCATATCTTAGATTTTCTATGGTTGGTACACCCTTGACGAAGACTTAAAGGGTTGCTCAGGAACTTTTTATATTGTTTGCTGTTAGTGGATGCCACCACAAAACCAGAATAATTAAATGCAAGAACATCATCTCATTCTTTCTAATTCTGGCATTTTCAAGTTTTTTCATTCAAAGATGTAATCCATTTTCATCATCGACTGTTCAATTTGTTTTTGCTAGGATGTGATTACTAATTAATCAGTACATTGTTTTAGGTTGCCTATTAGTAGTCTTTTGATATTTATATATTCCACAAATTCTATCCTTTCTGTGGGATTCTTTTCACTTTCTGTAGTTCCACAATTTCTCACTTTCATTGTGTTAATAACAAGATGCATCGATTCTTGGGAAGCCACCAATATTTGCTACTGATACTATGGGGTAACTCACTTTCTTTTGGATACTAATGCATGTATTAAAGAAAATTAATTGTCTTGGTTGTAACGTGGTCGCAACTCGCAATAGTTGTCTTAAACCAAGCAAATACAATTTTTGTTTCTTTGTGTTAGGGTAAAGATCCAGTGGGATCAATGTGAAGATTAAGTGGCGAAAATTGCCTTCTAATTTACTTCTTCCTTCCAAGGGAAGATAGAGTGTGAAACAAGGTTCTCAAGGGAAGCCAGAGTTTAAGGTGGAAAGTCCTGTCTGGAGAGCTGGAAAACTTTATAGGTTGGAGGCAGTGAATGATGTCCATATCCTTGAGTTAAACTGGGCACTACCTTGTCTTTTGCAAGAGTATCTGAAGAAACTGGAAGATTATTTGGCTCATCTTCTTGGTCACGGTATATATTTCTGCATTATCTTAATGATTAAGTAGGAGGTTGCTCACGAAAGTAATAATAACAAAGAAAAGGATGCATATGCATATATGAAGAAAATATGAATGGTTTTTGATTAGTTTGTGGAATGTAGATAGTGTTTTTCATTTGCTTCAATTTCCAATGCTTAACCCCTCAAGTTTATTCAATATGCTTAACTACTACTAGTACTACTATTTGCTGATATCAGATTTTAATACCCTGAAATTAATATGATTGCTACTATTCCCTTCTTGTTTAGAACCATATAAGAGATAAACAATGCTTATATCTTAGTTTCTGGTTTATTCATTGAGAAATTTTTTTGCTGCTTAAACCATGATGTTGTATATGTTTTGTCATGTGTACTAAAGCACAAATGTAATATCTTCTTCTGGTATTTCTGGTATTTGCTGCTGCATTCCATTAACTATTCATTTTGTTTCTTTGTTGCAAAAAATTTGCTTGTTTATCCACCAGAACATGTTATCTTTGGAGACTATGTCTATGAGTTATTGGATGAGTAGACGATAAGAAAGATTCTAGGTTTCTTCACTCCCAGAAACATGAGAATTGATGTAGTAACAAAATCCTTCAAGCTAAATGGTATCATGTTCTGTTCTATTTAGTCATCATATTCTTATTGTAAAATATTGGACCATGTTTCTATGTTCCAAGAGTCTAAGAACAATGACGATCTAATTTGAAGCCATATGACTTTCTTTGATTTGCAACTACCAGTTGGTTGGATTGTCCCTTTTACATTGTAAATTCCCACAATTATCATGTTTCTTATGTTATGTTGATTCTGTTTAACTAAAATGTGCTTAATTTCTTTTATTTATACTGATAATTATGGGAAAGCAACTGAGTGCATATACTCTCTGACACACAATGTGTGTCATTTTCATTTATGATGGGGGCTTCAATGACACACAATGTAAGTCATATATGCGTGTCATAAATTTATGACACACAATGTGTGTTGTCTTAATTTATGACGAGGGCTTCAATGACGCTCAATGCACGTCATAAATGCGCGTCATAAATGCGTGTCATAAATGCTCGTCATCAAAAATTCATGTCGGTGGCTTCAACAACAGGCATTTGTGTGTCATCCGCACCCATAGATGACGCGCAATGCGCGTCATTAAAGGGGTTTTTTTTCTAGTAGTGGATAGAGCAAAATTGCAATTGATAATTTGAGAAAATAAAAATGAAGATAAGAAGACATAAATTTTACGTGGAAAGCCCCTAAATAATATAGGGTAAAAACCACGGGCAACGGTAGAAGAATTTCACTATGAGAAAATAGGAATTACAACTTCTCTCGATCTAACAAGGAGAAAATAATAATAATTTTCTCTTGATAAAAAAAAAGAGAAAACAACTCTCAAGAAAACTCTATAAATTCTCTAGTATTGAGAGAAAGCTAGAATGATTTGGGATGATTTTGAATCTAAATGGGTTAGAGTATTTATAGTTGAAGCTTAAGGACTAACCTTGTAAATATCCTAAAGTACAGTAACTAAATTTGGTAATTTCCCTTACCAAAAATCAACAAAACCTGCTCCTTTTTTTACCATTTTATTCGGTGCATCATTTTTTGACTTTTAACAATGGATGCATCAGAGTACAAGCTTGTTATAGGTAATGTCAGGAAGGTTGATATTACGAAAGTTGGTAACTCTTTTTTGTAAACATCATATCAAAAACAATTGTTTCTTCATAACTTGTTACATGTGCCTAGTGTGAATAAAAATTTTAATCTCTATTTCTAAACTTGCTGGATACAGTGGCGTCTGCGTAGAGTTCCATGCCCGAACATGTGCTTTCTGTGATTAAAAATCGGTGATGTTCTGATGACTGGACATGAGGAAGATGGATTATATCGTTTTAATAATCCCGGATGTAATAGCTTGCCTAGTTGTTTTTCCAACAAGATTTCAGGTCCTGTTGATTCCTATAAACAAGTTAGCACATATGAAACTTGGCATTGGAAGGCTAGGGCATCCGTCCATTCTTCCTTGCATAAACTTTTATAATCTTCTAATAATTTTTTTATGAAATAATCTTCTAATGTTGATTGTAATAATAGGTGTGTTCAAACGATCAGTTCGGTCACCAAACTGACCAAATACTCATTAACCGAATTAATCGAATTTTTTAACGGTTAATCGAACTAAACTCTTTTTTGAAAATCATTAATCAATCTGAATAAAGTTCGGTTAATTTGATCGGTGTCCGAATTAACCTAAATTTTTATATATTTTTAAATTAGATTAATTTGAGTTTAACAGAGATACTTTTTTTTTATTTGGGATAAAATTTAATTAGATCTTGACAATTTAATGGGTTTAGTGTGTTTAAAAAATAGTTTGGTTTTAATTTTTGATGAGTTTGAGCTTAAAATATGTATTTAATATATATAATATACTAAACATTTTAAATTTATAGTTAATTCAGTTAATTAACCAATTTCGAATTGAATTAACCGTTAATCGAATATTAAAAAATGATAACCGTTTTCCTACTAAACTAAATCGATGGCCGACCGAATTAATCAAACTATTTTGGTTTGATCGTTTAATTCGATTAATTTCAAAAAGTGAACAACCTTAGTAATAAATAGTGTATGGAGGTTATGTGTTACGTGCAGTATATACAGTAATAATTGTTTTTCACTTGATCAACATGCTGCCAACAGATGTTAGACCGAGTGTCTTTAATTTTCTAAGAAAATTATTTTAAAACCAATTCAGCATATTATTTTAACACTGAACAACAATTTACATAGCCTATTACATGTCATTCTTAGTATTCCTATTACATGTCATTCTTAGTATTCCCTGCAAATGAGTGTTAGGTCGGATCGTATGGTGTGGCTTCTCAAGAACCATGGTACATTTACTGTTCGGGTGCCCATCATTTCTTGCTACTTGTTCATGAATATTGGGACTCTATCCCCCTTGCGGAGCAATTGGACGTAGCAATTGCCGGAGAGAATTAAGATATGTACTTGGTGAGCTTTCTGTAACTAGCTGCCATGTTTCTGCTAACCTTTTCGATAAGTAGATCATAGCATCTACGTTATGTTTCTGGTGTGCCAGCAATGGGAGACATTGCTTCATTCGTTGAGAGATTGTCCTTGTGTGATGTCGATATGGACACTGTTTCGATGGGGCCACCTTCTTCAGTTTGGAACACCTAATTTTGTGGACTTCTCAAAGCTTCTAATCCTCCTATGGGATTTGTGTAGCAAACGGAACAGACACTTGTACGAGGGCACTCCACGTTCATATTTGGAGGTACATTGTTTTGAGCTTTCTTATTCTGGTGAATGTCTACATGCTCGGTAACGTCCAGATATTGCCCTACCACCAGCGGTTTTTATATGGTCACCGCAATAGTTACGTGTTCTGAAGGTAAATGTTGATGGTGCTTTCGATCATAGGACCCACGCTGGTGGTCTCGAACTTCTTGTGGGAGATGTGCTTCGGGCTGTTATGTAGCTGGTACTGTTAGATACATGCGACTTGCTCTCGGTGGTTTTCTTGTTGAAAAATTTTGGCATTTTTGCCTTAAATTAGGGCCAACTTAAGAAGGAGCCAGGACAGGAAGCAGGAACCATCAACCATTTAGAATTCTATAACTAAAATTAGAATAAAACAAGCCTCCACTTCTTTAAAATTGTTGAGAGCAGCTGCTAATTAAAAAGAATATTAACAAATCAAGTTCGGAAATGCATTCCATTCCAACGCCTCATCCTGATATACAACTAACACCCAAACTTCTACTATCATAACGCATTTCCTTCCTTCCATACTTGAACACTAACATCCTACACAAATTCTCTCATGCTAATTTTTCATCTACCAAAATTGAATACAACTTTTAAAATTTGGAAGATTTTATGCATCCAGGTCCCTTTTCGAATTCCATACAGGAGATTTCGGAACAACACCATCGCTCAAGATCCCACTTCCTTTATCTACAATAATCAAAGGATCAGAATCACTTTCTTTAACCTGCATCATCAATGGTAAGCATATCAAGAAAAGAGAAAGGATAGCATATGACCATTTGGTAAACTGGCTCATCAAAGGGCATGCAGTGAAGTACCCGAGGCAACTGAGCTGATACTTCATTAGCCTTCTGCTGCTGGCTCTCGATAGTGCAATAATAGGAGTAAAGGATCATTCCAACTACAGCAATCAAGATCCCCAAAATAGTGCGCCAGCTAAATGGATCATGAAGTAGAACATAACCAAATGCCAAAACAAGGCATGTTTTTAAATGTCCTAGGACTTGGTAGGTGATTGGGGACGTCTTCCCAATTACTAGAAATGTACTAAAGTTGACAGTGACAGATATCATGCATGACAGAACAATGAAGAACTGCAACAAAAGGTTGCATAACGAAACAATTAGAAGCAACAATATTCGATAGAAATATTCCAATCTTACCGATCTTACCAGCACTTGAGGGGTATACTTGAAAGCAAAAACATTCTGGTTAGTCAAAAGGCCATCCAGGAATGGGCCACTGATGAACAAAGTTAGTGCCTGATAAGGGCAAGACTGGTACAGGAGTTGAGTTGAAGATACCTTGAACTTCTTCTGGATGTTATTAGTCATCTAAGATGAGATTAGTTATGGAGTTTAAACAACTGAAAGTATTTTGTATTTAGATCGCGTTTAACATTCATTTGTTCCTAAGCACTGAAACAAATTATGGAGAAAAAATGAAAACAACTAGCAATAATAACATTTCAGCTAAGGATACAATTTGAGCTATACATGTCGTAACAACAGCCAGGAGAGAAAGGACAGAACCCAGGAGATTGAGCTGAAGATCAGTCACAGTAGCAATCCCAACTCCGACAAGAAGAATGGCTAATGAAAGCTGGACATTCCTACTGAAATAGCATATAAACGCATCAAACTACAACCATAAGTTTACCAAATAATTTGCTACTCCAATAGTAATATTATGATGTAAAGACCACCTAAAACAACTAACAAATTACAATAGAAAACAAGTAAAGATTTCAACTACGAGAAGTTAGAAATAGTAAAATCCAAGGAAGAAATTATTGATTGCAGCAAAAGCAGATGACTAATGTAATTCAAACTCCAAATTCTAGTGTCTATAAGCTCCAAAGGACCTCACATCCTTAGGGAATATCTAGCCCTCTAAACATTTATCCCCGAGGTTTATCTCCAAAAAAACAAATGCAAGCAGCCAAAATTATAAGAACATATCAGACATACAAAGCAACAAGCATGTCAATACTGACCTGAATTTCTTCCTGAAGAAAAGGGTCTCCAAAAGAACAGTACAGGGAATAATTGCCAGTTTTGTCATCTAAAAAAAACAAAACAAAAGCTTCACAAAATATGCTTTAAGAAAAAGGGAAAGGCTAAGGTTTGAGCTGGATATACATAGCACTAACAAATCCTATATCCATAGAAGTTGTAAGCACAAAATATCATTATGTATGAATTATGTTTGAATCAGGCAAAAACTTGACATGACTTGTATATCATTCAGGAGGATAATGACTAGAAATTTACCTGGAAGAAACCAACAGAATTGAAACCCAAACTAAGATTCAAAAGGCCAATGGACATCCCATTCAAAATACCAAATCCCATGACAGCTCTAGCATCAAAAGGCTTATGCTCAAACATGTTCATCCATAAAGCCACATGAAGAGTAGAAAACGTGACCAGGAGATGCCAACTTGTCAAAGTTGTGGCTGCAGAAGGCAGACCATAAGTATACACGATCAAGAAACAACAAGAAAAAAAATATGAGAAATTCTGATGATGTTCTCAATTTAACCACATGAAATTACAACAAACTATTAGCTTACAACTTCCATGGTCTATAATTGACTACTCTGTTGTAGAATTTGGTATTTAAAGAATTTATCAATTATCGTTTTAAAGAAAACAGCACAACATATTATGATAATTGGCATCATGAACAATTTCAAAGACACAAGTTGAAGAAAGTCCTTTCTTCTTAACTTGGTGAAGGAATGATTACATCATTCATCATATTGTAGCCAAAGTTATGCAGCAATAATATAATCAATGAGGTTATTTGATCACTTAGTCAAGAAACTGTACGATCATCAACCCAATTAATTTGAGCACTTAAGTAATGCTTAGAAATAGTAATTGAAAACATGCATTAAAATTATTTTCACATAAATGCATGCAGATTGTGATTCTAATGAATTACCATCTTCTAACTTCTGTTCTTTTCAAGGGAATGATATTTCCAAAGCATGAATTCTAATGTGTGCATATAAAGAAGAATATCAATTCGTAATTGTCTGCATTAGCACAGCATGAAAACATTAATCGACAGTTTATTCAAATTGTAATATTCAACACCTTAATTTTCAGTTGAAATTAAAAAAAAATCATTTCTAGTTATAGTGATCGGATCGTTTTCTTGATATCATAAATAAATCGGAAAGGAAAGAAAACAAAGACAAAAAAAAAATTAAAGGCATCTTAAATCCAAAATTTTCAGATAATAAACATGAATTAAAAAGGGTGGAATCTGGAAATAGACATAGAAAAATCAAATCAAAAGCAACATCAGACATAGTAAAAAAACAAAGATTTCATAATGTATTAGACATAAAGTGAAAATGAATCCATCAATCACGTTAGGAAAATAAAAGGAGAATTAAGTGAGCTGTATGCAATTGAAATTTAACTGACCAAAGTTGAAACCAAGAGTGGTGATAAGAGCTTTGTTGCATATAACAATGGAAACTGAGGAAACAACCGATAAACTCAAAGCACCAATTGTCCCCGGCAGGAACTTATGGTTGTCACCCATTTTTCTTTAGAAATATGAATCAGATTTGCTGATTATAGTAGGATATTTAGGCATTTGAATTGTGGAGCTACCTCATTATCACATACAATAGGCGTAAAGGGATCTAAATATGAAAAATGGAAGAAAGATCATCGAAGAACCCCATATCTGCTTGTTTTAAGGAGAGATGAGAAACAGATGATAATAATAATAATAAGTGTAAGCTACACATTTAGTACCTCAACTATAACATTTGTTCTGTTTTCATCACCCCAATTATTATTTTTTCAAAATCATATCTAACTATATGTTTTGGTTTATTTTGATTATCCGAAGTTAAAAAATTAACAGAACTACTAATATGATAATTTTTTTTTATTTTTTCAGTGAGGACGTGACATTATCTTATGGTGACAGTCATAATAATTGCTAATTTTTGGGAAAACTAGTTCAGATACCACTTAACTTTGCATGCTAACTTGTTTATACTACTGAACTTTTAATTTTGCTGATTATAGCAATGAACTTTAGTTTTACATTCAATTATACGACTTCATCGTTGAGTCAGTAACGAGACAATGACATGGCTAAAGACTGCTGTCTTGACCTAACACACCAAAATGATGTCATTTTGGTGCGACAATTTTGATGCCTAAAACGATGTCGTATTAGATACTGAACTGTAGAGGTGTATCAATTTTGCCACTATACTTTTAAACAATTTTCTTTTTAAGCACTACACTTTTTAGTTGCCTACAGTCAATCATTACCCGTCATCAATCATATTTCGTGGCAAAATCGGTATCAAAATATTTGTGTTGCACTCCTTTTTCTTCTCCTATGATTGGTTTTTGATGAAACTCACTCAAAATCGACAAAAATCCATTTAAAAGTTCAACGTATTAACACTCATATCTCTTTTAAACCGTATGATAAGGGTAGATTTGAGGTATGTTGTTTGTCTTCTCGAAATAATGCTTTTCACTATTCAGATTTAGAACAAACATCCAAAGTCCCACAAATCTAAGAAAGTCTCCAAACATCTCAAATGATAGATTTTTTGGTTTAATTTCGTCAATTTTGAGTGGTTTCATGGCAAACTAATCATACGAGAAGAATAAGGAGTAAAATGTGAACATTTTGGTACTAGTTTTTCACGAATATGATTGATGGCAGACAGTGATTGACTGTCAGCGACGGACGAAAAGTGCAATGCCAAAAAGTAAACTATTTAAAAGTTCAGTGACCAAATTGATACATACCTAAAGTTTAGTGTCTAAAATGACATCACTTTAGTCATCAAAACAACCACACCAAAACGATGTCGTTTTGGTGTGGCATGCCATGTAACAATCGTTAGTCATGCCATTGTCTCGTTAGTGACTTAAGTGGGGAGTGGCATAATTAAATGTAAAACTAAAGATTAGTGCTATAATTGACAAAATTGGAAGTTCAGTGGCATAAATGAGTTGACGGGAAAAGTTTGGTGATATCTGAAGTAATTTTCCCTTAATTTTTTAATATGAGTGACCAAAATAAATTAAAACATAACATGGTATAATTTCGAAACAAAAAATAGTTAAGTGATCAAAATGGAATAAAAGTGATATTTTGAGATACTAAACGTGTAGTTTACCCTAATAAGGGTTAAATAAAAAATAAGTCCTTAAATTATGCTATTTTTTGTTTTAAGTCCATAAACTATTTTTTGGTAAAAATAAACCCTTAAACTATTATATGTAATCATTTTAAGTACATGAATTATTTTTTTGATTAAAATAAACCTCTAAACTATGTCATTTTTGCTTTAAGTCCCTAAATTATTTTTCGGTCAAAATAAATACCTAATTTTGTGTGACATATTTAACTTCTTATTATCTGAAAACAAAATCTAACTAAAAAAATGGCGGGATTTAAAATAATTACATATAATAATTTAAAGACTTATTTTACCAAAAAAAAACAGTTTAAGGACTTAAAACAAAAACAAAAACATAGTTTAAGGGCTTAAAATAAAAACAAAAACATAGTTTAAGGGCTTTTTTTACATTAACCTAATAATTACAATAACAATGCTTTTACCTATAGAAAGTTTATATATTCACTAAATTATCCGTAAATTCTTAAATAACAAAAGAGTATAAGTAACAGACTGAGGCTCAAAATAAAATTAATTCTAGATGGTATCAATAATCCTCTAAAGGGTATCGATTATCACCTTGAGTATCGATATCAAAATTAGTTTCAAAGTTTAAATATTTTTTCGCGATATCGATACCACTAGGTTGAGTATTGATACTAGAGGAACGATAACAATACCATTAGAACATAACATCGGTAATCCTCTCCAAGGAAACCCAGATTTTTCCTAAACTTTATAGGATATCGATATTGAAAGAACAATACTCATACGTGATAACTCTCCAAAAGAGTTATCATTTAAGATATTTTTACCGAACACCTTCGTGATAGAATAATTAGGATTTTGCCGATGAAGCACTTCATATGGAGTTCTTCGGCCCAAAACATCCGTTGGTAATCTGTTAATTAAAAAATCAACGGTGATAAAAGCACGACTCCAGAATTTTATAGGTAACGAAGCTTGAGCTAGCATAGTTAACCCTACAACTATGTGGACCATTCTGCTATGAGGTACTAAGACAGCTTTTCCTATGTTGTATTCCATTCAAAACAAGCCAATTGGAACGAGTTTGATACTCGTCACCTCCATCCGTTTGAAACGCCTTAACCTTACATCTAAAGTGAATTTCAACCATCTTGTAGAAATTGAGAAAACACTGAATAACTTCAGATTTCTTCTTTAACAGATACATTCACGTGTATCGACTAAAAACATCAATAAAATACACATAATATGAAAACCCATCAGAACTTGTATGTGTTGCATCCCATAAATCATAATCAACTAACTGAAAAGTTTCCTTGCATTCAGTTAAAGATCTAGAAAATGGCAACTTGTAAGCTTTACCTTGCAAACATGCAGCGCAAACATGCGACATTTTATTCTCATCGGTAACTTATTACAAGAATTGAGAACAGATTTGAGTACATTATTAGAAGGATGACCTAAACGATTACGCCACAAAACTAGATTATCTTTTGTTTTTGACACATGATATGACTCGGGATGAACTTCCTTTGCGTCATAAGGCAGCAGCCGATAGAGCCCCTCAGGTGTGAGCGTCCCTCTTAGAAGAACCATCTGAGTCTGAGCATCCTTCATAAAGCATTCATAAGGGTGAAATTACATAAACACTCTATTATCTTGAGCAAAATGTGACACGGATAATAAATTTTTCCTTATAATAGGAACATGCAGCAAGCTTTGTAAAATAGAGATTTTGTATTAGTCAGCAAAGATCCTTGACCTATACGAGCAATTTTGATACCCTCGCCATTACCCATTTGAAGGTATCATTACCTGTATAAGTTGTTCCTAAACTGAAAGTGGGCAGATCATTTGTGATGTGATAAGTAGCTCCTGTATCTGGATACCAAGTGACATCAGAAAAAACCTTTCCATTCATTTGACTAGCAGCAACAGAAGATGTTGTTGTGAAGACCGTGGTGGCTGCTGCAAATCCTGCAGATGCTGATGGAGAACCTTGAACTTTCTATGCACTCATTTGTTTAACCTCTGCAAATAACCAAGACTAAGTATACCTTTACACCTGCTGCGGTTTCAATCTGTTGCTGAGGGCATGTGGTTCTCGTACGGTCTTCGGCAATGTTGAGTGCAGCTTTATGGTCTGTTGATTCTGATTATATCATTTGCTAATTTTTTTTTTCTGTTTGGCCGGTCGGAGAGTTGCTGCTGCTCTTTTGCTTTTGTCTCAGTTTGTTTGAGAAAGGTGCTTCCTCTGAGTGCTGTTGCAGGTCATTCCTTTGCTTAGTGTTTTGCTATATCATTCGATGGCTACTCTGCATATGTTCTGGTCTCGCTGTCCAAGAGAAGTTGAAGTGCTTTAAATTGGTGTGGTTTGCTTAGTCTGAATAGAGAGCTGCTCAATTTTCATGCTTGTTGTACTTGCTGCCTTAGTGGTTGCTTTGCCTATAGTCGGAGCTCAGCATTTCGTTGTGGGTTCCATGTAGATCCAAGTAATTACCTGGCTGTGTTTGTTATTGTGGAGGTTGTTAGGTAAAAAGCTGCTGTCGGGGTTCTATAGTTTTGATGCTGGCATTTTTTGCTTGCTTGGTCTATGTCGGTCGAGTTCATTTTGGTTGGTTTGTTTGGTTTGTCCCTATTATGTTGTAGTTATTCCGGGTCACTGGTCTATGTTGGTCACGTTCATTTTGGTTGTTTTGTCCCTATTAATAAAAATAATCGAGCACTCTTTTCTTCTTCCGATGTTACTATTGAGTTTCGGCTCAATCGACCGAAGGGGTTTTTAACGAGGTTATGCTTTCCTTTCAAAAAAATCTATAAATTCAATTTTACTAATCATTTTCAACCAATCAATATGTGCCACATGTTTATAAATTTTTAAAAAAATTAAAAATGAAAATTAATATATGTTATGATTTATAAGTTTAGATACCAATTAAATAACTAATATCAAATTTAAAAATTAAATGGATCTTTAAAAATTTAACGAAATAAAATTTTTAGATCAATGTATGATATGATTTTCAAGGTCAGATACTAACTAGATACACTAAATTTGGAGATCAAATGAGTGTAAGAAAATCATGAGCTAACTAAATATCTAATACCAAATTCAAGACAGAAAGATATACATTAATCCTTAGATATATACTCGGGAAGCAGCGGTACACACAATACAAGTTTTGAACTAGGAAAAAGGTTATGAAGCTGATCGATGGCTGAAATTAAGAAGAAACAAATACAACTTTCCCTTTTCTGTTCACTATTCGAGTGACAAGTTCATGAGCCTATACAATTTAAACAAATTTAGATCTCTTACCACAGATACAGAAATCAAACAATACATATAACATCAACCATCACAAACAAGCTATAGCTGCGGCAACTTATTAATTGCTCAAGAAATTGAAAACCTTCTCCTCCTAGGCTTGGTGACATCCACTCCAATGCTATCATCGATATGAGAAGTGTCTTTGAAGCCATGGCGGAAGGGATTTAGCTTCCCTGGAGTCTTGGACACGAGGAGAAAAAGGTAGGCTTTCTATTCCCACTGCTCTTTGAACTTGTTCTGGTTTGATTGTTCTTCTGCGTGTCGGATACGTACATCTTCATCTTCAAAAGCTCCATTCGTAAAGCCTCGTTCTCTTTTACTAGTGATATGTCTGCCTGCAATTGATTCCTGGTGGTCACAGCGGCTGGCTCATTGCGGTCAACTGCCCCACTACCACTCCTTAGCTTAAGCTGATCATAGTACAATGCGTGCAGAACAATCTGCACGGGCAACCGCTTGTTTTGTGACGCATGCACTCGAGCCTCGTATGAAAGCTTTAAGGGGTCCATGGAGCTGCATACCTTCTCCCTTTCTATTTCATCCATATTTGGATGAGACTGCATTCATAAATTCATATGCTCAACAATGGTAAAGCACTTATCTTTTAGGATAACCTTCGTATTTAGTTAGTCATCTATTTTCATGATTCTGTTTCTGTCATCCAATTATTTTGTTTTTAAATTCATACCTAGCTGTATGTTTTAATTTCGTTTTGTCAATTGTCAAAAAAAATAGTAAACTACACGTTTAGTACCCCAACTATCACATTTATTTTGTTTTGGTCACCTAACTATTATTTTTTTTAAATTATACCTAACATTACATTTTTATTTCATTTTAATCACTCGCCATTAAAAAAGTAATGATGATGCTAACGTGTCATCATAATATAATTTCATGTCATCGTTAAAAAATTAAAACTATAATGTCAACAATTCTACTATTTTTTAACAGTAGGTGACCAAAATGAAAACCAAAACGTAATGTTAAGTATGATTTTGAAAGAAAAAAAAAGTAATAGTTGAGTGACAAAAACATAACAAATGTGTAATTCGGGTACTAAACATGTAGTTTATCCAAAAATTAATATTTATGCTGACGTATTAATAGGGATGGGCATAGGACCCAAACACGAAGGGTTCCGACCCGACCCGATTGGGTCGGATTTTTTTTAAAAAATTCGGGTACGGGTTCGGGTTTATGGTGAAAAATACTCGACCCGACCCGAAATAAATATAATTTTACCTTATATATTTAGGAATAATTACAATAATACCCCTCTATATATTAATTTTTCAATTAAATCACTGTTTTTATTGAATAAAAATAATATTTTTATTATTTCGGGTCGGATTCAGATTTTATCTCAAAAAGTCGGGTCGGGTGGAGAGTATATATTTTCAAGTCGGGTGAAGGGTGTAAAATTTTCGGGTCGGATTGGGTTGACCAAAACCCGACCCAAACCCGACCCATGCCCATACCTACTTATTGCGTATAATAATAGAAAGTTAACATTAAAAAAGTAAAAAATCCTCGCATCAACAGTTCTATTTAGTTTTTAACAATGAGTGATCAAAATAAAATAAAAATATAATATAAAATATGATTTAAAAAATATTTGAATGGCCAAAACGATACTGCATGAATAAGTGAGTGACTTATTTATTGCAACTTATATTAGCATTAAGAACTATTTAAAGATTAAAAATTAACCTCGAGGTAAACGTCTATGGCCCGATGGAGATCATCTTCGACCTTTCTGGCTCCTTTAGGGACGAGATTAGCAATAGCGTTGAACTTGGAGATGGTGAGTTCAACTACGGTTGCTATCTCAGCCAGGCACGCGTCGACAGTCTTAGCAACTCTCTGCATCGAAGAACTTACCTCCCTAAAATCACCGCCGTTGAAAACAGGCATGCTCTTCTCCAGTTCTCCTTGTCCACAAACCCCGATATGATCCTCCGGAGGCTGTCGAGATCGAAGAGTCTCTCCCTATCATAAGTGAAAGACAAAACCAAAAGATCATCGACCGTGACATGTTCCAATATAAATGAGATCCGTTCTCCAGCTCGTTCTTGCTAGCGGAGAAGGCAACACAAGAAGTGGATCGGAAAAGCAGCTTTCTCTGCCGGTAGAAGTGTCACTATGGACTCCAAAAGCTCGCGCTGCTGGATCAGAAGATCGTAATCGATGGGCTCGGAACGCTTGATGCCATTCCCGAATGATCGCGGACTAGATCTCGTAGCCATTTTTCTGCGTAAGTTATGACTTATGAGGGCGGTTGCTATTGTTAGTGCCTTTGCTGTCGTTTCATTGCGCCGACGATTCTGCCAAAGAACTCAACGGCCAGGATCGATAGCTCTTCCGTCCACCAGTTTGGAGGCGTACGGTAAGGGAACTCGCCTCTCTACAAGCCTGCACACACCATTCATGTTCCAATAAGTTGATCCTTCGACTTACTTTTCACACAATTAGCTTCTAATTTTGGTTCCTACCAAACAGATCAACGTCCTTGGTAATACTATGATTGATCCATATATATAAATTGATTTGCATCTTTGAATAATTTTGAGTTCCTCAGCCATAGGAAGCAGATCTTCGCGTGATTTGAGAACCACGACGGCACCAGAAAGGCTAGAGAGCGCAACCTGTGAGAGGAAATCATCGGTGCGCCCTGCTAGGTTGTTGTCGCTGTATTTATCGGTCATCTGGAGATACTCCGCGGCACATCGGAGAGCCGCCACGTTATGGACCGTAATCTCGAAATTGACACCGTAGCAGAACTTTGCTGCTTTCTCGAAGATCTCAGGGCCTCCGGGAACTTCGGAAAGGTTGATTCTCGTCAAATCTGCTTCTTTCGTTTCCATTACCAGCTTCCTTATATAATTGCTCTTCGCCACCAGCATGAACTACACAATTCGAAATGCCCTCATTTTCACAATAAACAAGGCACCTAAATTCTAAAAAATAATTGCATACCTTACGAAGATTGAAATTGGCTTCACCAACTTTGACTATAACATCAGTGGGGATCTCTTGGGAGAAAACCCTGAAATTGACCCAAAAATGATGATTAGTTAAGAATCAGAGTAGAATAATATAAATCGTAAACAAAAGAATTGGCCGTAGTTAATTATTTGTACCACTGGCCGGTCCTCTCCATGGCGGTGGACAGCCTGTTGTTTCCGTTTAAAGGAGTGGCCATAGGCGAGCTGGTTTGGTTTGGGAAAGAAGGATGTACGGAAACAGAGAAGAAATTGATCTGCTTCTAATATAAGAACTTGTATGTATTAGTTTTTATAGAGCTTCTTGTTCAATTAACTTAATTTATGGGGTAATTATTGTTAAATTAATCTTATTGGCTCCTCTGACGTTGTTTTCTAGTCCTCTTTGCTATTTTACTTGCGATCTTATCCGCCGAGTTATACTAACTTTCGAGTAAGTACCATTCTACCCCAACATTAGCTATTGCTATACTATATCTGATTGATACTTTGTATCTTTTTTTTTCTCCTTTTTGCTTCAAAATATCGAGTAGTTGCGCCTTATGATAGTTTAATATAAGATTAAGGAATAATAGAAAATTGATGTAATCGAAAATATTATAAAAATATAAAATTATCGGTTTGACGTAATCTAAAATATTAAGGAACAGTAGAGAATTGGTGTAACCGAAAATGTTATAAAAAACATAATATTTTTGGTTATGCGCAACTAAAAATATTAATCTTTTTCTAATTTTTTCGGTTCCTTAACAGAGAATTGGCATAACCAAAAATGTTATAAAAAACATAATATTTCGGTAAAGCGCAATCTAAAATATTAATCTTTTTCTAACATTCTCGGTTGAACAAAAAATATTATCAAGAATGTAACATTTTCAGTTGCCAACCGAAAATATTATTAAAAATGTAACATTTTCGATTCATGTTAGGATAAAGTTAACATTTTAGACTACGCCCAATAAAAAATATTACGTTTTTTATAACATTTTTAGTTGTGTCTATTCCCTGTCGTTCCTTATTGTTATATTAATATGCATTTCGTTCGACATTCCTCAAAAGATCTGATTCATATCTAAATGTAAACTATTTTATCTTCTCAAATTATGAAAAAAAAAATAGTTTTTTCATGCCAATAAAAGAGCTAATTTATTGAAAAAGAGAATATATCTAAAATTATATTGAAGTTTTATAACTATAAACGTAAATCAAACACATAGTTATGAAATATTCCTATAACAATTGACAAATTGACATTTGGAGTCGAGATAATAAGGCTCGTACAAAGAAAAAGTTAAAAATTCATTAAAAAAACTCAAATAAGATATAGATATAAAAAGATCTAGTTGCACTGAAAAACGAACCACAACAAGAGATCAAACTATTAAAACCACCAACAATCACATATTGAAATCGAGTGTCATGAGAAATTTATATCCAAATGTAAATCGTGTATCTAAATCCATTATGATGGTATGAAAAATCAACATGATAACAAATAAGTTTCATTTTGATCAGTCGAGATGTCGTCAAATTCAATCCTAAAAAAATTGAATGAAGAAAGATCAAACAACGAAAAACGTATAAATAACAGAGGAAAGTGTATCGTAGAGACGAAAAATGTGTCATAGAAATAAAATTATTGAAAATTAGAAAAACAAAAAAATTAAAATGTGATATAAAGAAAATAAAAAATATATAGTGTTGAATGTCGAGCACCTGTCAAATAGGGGTGGCAACAGGACGGAGCAGGGACGGTTTTATATTACCCATTCTGTCCCCAACACTTGTGGGTACGATTTTGGAGAATCTCCAATATATGTTTCGAAGATTTTTTTGTCCTCATATCCATCTCTTACGGATCCATACGAGTTTCGGTTAATCATCATCTAAAAAAATAAACAAACATTTTTGAAATCAATGCAACACCTAAAACTTGTAAGATATATCAGATTGTGTCAAATTGGTCTCTATCTATAATATGAAAGTTTCAAACGTTGATATTCATCTAACACTCAATGTATATGTACAATCTTAATCATTTTCAATCTCAACAAATCAATATATTTTAAATGAGAAAATATATAAACTTCAATTTTAGTTCCTTTGAGATGTAACAGTGGCAACACGTACTCTCACAGATATTTTTTGAGATCCTCACAGTTATTCACAAGGGTATTGTTCGATTATCCCCGTGAGTGAAGATTTCAGTTATTCTCCATCCCGTCGATTCGAATCTCCACGGTTTTCGATTTTTCACCACCTGATTACCACCCCTACGGTCAAACAAAGAAAAAGAGAAAGGAGCAAGCAGCTAGTTATTTAACTTTTGTTTTTCTGAATTTGAGGTAGGATAATATAATAGTTAAATGTTGGTTATCAAATGAATTAAAAATTTTTTGGATAAATGTTATCTTGTAAATCACCCCTACATTAATAAAAAAATGTAAACTATTTTTTATAGTTCTAACATTGTGAGTAAAATAATTGTTAATTACGTATATAATGTAATAAATAAAATTTATTTTTTATTTTTTATTTTTTATTTTAGTTGATATTAGATTTAGATTCAATTTCAGATAATTATTTTACATTTTTATATAAAAAATATTGCGAATAATTAATATACTTTTAGTTAAATCAACCCACTAAAGTAAATAATATATAAGTTATAAATATTATTTCAGTTATCATTCATCTTATTAAAGAGTCAAAGTTACAGTTACAGTTAGAGTGGATTTACTTTTCGTATCAAAATATAATTTTTGTGTGTGAGAATTTGCTGGTGTGAGCCCACCAAGATGATGTTAATTAAAATTTATACACAATATGGTTGAAAAAAATTATATAAAAGTTGCAAAAATTAAACGATTTTAATGGCTAAAATAATGATTGTTATTTTTAGATATATCATATTCAAACACCAATGATTATAAGATATTTGCACTTTCATTATTAAATAATTGAGAATTTATAAAACAAATATTATCGCTTATAATCACCATTAGATTAATCGAAAAAATATATAAAAGTGTTATAAATAATATTTAAGTGGATGTTTCATCTTCCATACTTAAATGTATGGTAACTTAAGGTGTAAATGTTGTAACATATAGCTCTAATAACTTATGGGTTTTTTTTTAGCCTGTAAATGGATGTACCTACAAACTTGTAAGATATGGTTAATAAAAGATTATTAACTACTCACATAGTATTTCATATGTATGCTATAATTTTATAACACATTATCAACATGATTTTGTTTAGAAATTTTTTTACAAAAAATTTAGTATCGTCTCTATCTAATTGTAGTCACCCATTATATATGATAATATATATAACAATATATAGTATAGTTTTTGAAAATATTTTTGAAAACATATAGTATATAGTTTTAGAAACGGTTTTTGAAAACATATTATATAGTTTTTGAAAATATAATATATATTATATAGTTTATAAATAAATATATAGTACATATTAAATTTATAGTGTTATTTATTATTTTCATTACTTTATTCATTTATTTACTTAATTATTTTATATTCATTTTCTGTCTAGGTCCAAAGTCCAGATAGTCTAGCAAGGGAGCCCAACTGAGCTATGCCAGCCTGACCCAACAAAGCCAGCCTGACCCAGCAAAGCAGGCTCAGTTAGGTTACTTGACCCAACCCAAATTAACATGTTATGGTTTCAACATTAGGGGAAGGCGCCGCATAGGGGGAGCTTGAATGGCGTGTGAGGACCACGCATAGTAACTAGCCAAGATTTCGACAGAGAAAACTGGAGCAACCCAGGACTGAACCATCCTAGAATTTTGGGCCAACGTGA